TAAAATCATCAACTCTAGGCCCGACCAACCCAAGCTGCTATGTGGCCCTAAGCAAAATTCTATTGTTTGGACCTACTAATTTAGCTAATTATGTCTATTTCTGCAATCAACAATGATAAGATCATACACATACGTACTATAAACTCAACGCATCTATGTCAGAGCTGTTTACATTCTTCAAATTGTGTCAATCATCTAGTGTTTCCTAAATTAATAAAATAAACTAGTTTATCAAGCCCAGTGATTCCAAATCGAGAGTAATCCTACCCCTAGTGGTCAGTGAGTGCATTGCAAGGAGTATGTTAATTCAATTCAATTCAGTTTATTTCTATAGCGCCAATTCACAACACATGTCATCTCAAGCTACTTTCCAGTTCACCAGATCATTCAGTAAAATTGATTCAAAGTTTTCTATCTAAGGAAAACCAGCTGATTGCATCGACTCATTGACTCCAATGCAATACCTCACACTAAGCATGCTTGTAGCGAAAATTTTATGATTTTCTTGTGATTTCATGAACGTTCATTAAATTGTAAAATTTCAAAAAACGTATTAAACTACATTTACTGGAAAAAAACATGAATTATATTGCTAATAAAAGGTTTATATGTAAATAAAAACAATATTTGTGCATATTTTCCTGCAAAAGTTGCAAAACCTAATTCTTTGGTGCCAAGCTTTTATTCTATCAAATGTTCTGTGATGCAGGGATCAGTGGATTCATAGAAAAGTGTCATTTTTTCTTGCATAAAAAAAGCCAAACACTGCAACTTGAGCCATCTGGTCCTTCTAACTGTGTCATCTTGACAGTGAAACGAACTTCATCTTTTTGTCATTGTTGTTTTAGTGAATCTTGACTTCTTTAAAAAGCAGCTGAAGACATTCTCAAACAAATTAGCTTTTTTTTCCTTTATTTTTTCCCTCCAATATTTCAAAATATTGTATTTATTTAATCACATGTTTGATTTAACTTAACACCAAATGGTGGCATAAAAGCACTCGCTTTAAGTAGTTTTATTTTTACTTCTACAGGCTTTTTTAAAATTCTTTTTACCTCAGTAAGGTTGTTGGATCTTAGATCCAGTGTATGGAACAAAATGGCAGATCCAGCCACCAGACCAGCAAGAAAGAGCAAAGAATACTAGAATCAATCAAAAAGTTTGGTCCTGTTCACTGTTAGATGGACAGAAGCAAATAGCTGCTGGGCCACACAGAGTTCATCATTCAGTTTACAGAAGGGAAATGCTGCCCTCTGGTGGAGGTTTGAACACAAACATGTCTCTTGCTCTGTGGTTCTTACCAATGAGAGTGATTGAGTCATGAGAAAGGTCAAGAAAGTCCAAACCAGGAGCGCCGCTTAAACTGTGGATGGATGCCATCTTGTTATGAGCGAGTCGAAGAATCCTCAAACTGCTCATATTTTCACAATCCAATAATTATGTGTAATCTTCCTGAAACATTCAATGGAAACACTCAGTTACAAACTGTATTAACTGTAAAGTCTAGATTCAGTGTTCGCCCTTAAATCAACTTAGGAGAGCTGCTGCAACTGGCTGATGCCATAGAGAGACTGGAGGCCAAAGAGCTAAAGCAAGATGCCTTTAAAGATAAAAATTTTACAGACAATTTAAAAAGAGTGTATATAGTACCAAAAAAGCATGAAAAGAAAAGAAAAAATGTTCTCTTTGATCTCTACTACCGGCTCCGTAACAAAAAATGGAGTTCCTCTCCTCTGGACTTCAACCCTTCTTCTGGGCGAGGACTGAACTTTGCCAGGTTGGTGGCTTTCATGCTCATTGTTGTTCCTTATTTGAGTTTTGAAGTCAGTGACCTGAGCCTCTACTCCTGGCGAGAATCCAGTGACCCGCTGCAGCTGACGAGCAGCCGCTAGACGCTGTAATTAAATAAATGCTTTCATTTTGTTTTGAATACTCTGTAATTATTGTATCTGTGCTTTTAGAAACACAAGGAGTTTATTTTGTTTAACTCAGGATGAAACTTTTTTTGAACTTATTGATCAGACATGGTTCTCTGTCCTCTGGGTTTCATTTCATAATGAATCTAATGCTGAGCTGTGCTTTACATTCCCCACTACCCCTCACCACCACTCTCACCAACCCCCGAATCACTCGCAAACTCTGTCCTGCCTCCTTCCTCCCTCACAGTCACTTTGATGCAGGTGAGAGGCCAGCTGAAGAGACTGAAACTGAGGAAAGCCTCTGGACCAGACGGGATTCCTCCAAGGCTGCTGATCTCTGCGAGGTCCTCTACTTCTACAACCTGAGCCTCAGACCTCCTGTGTGGTATCGGCAGTGTTGGGAAAGTTCTCTCTCTATGTGAACTAGTTCAAAGTTCAGTTCACCCATTTTAAAATAATCTAGTTCAGTTCATAATTCAAAATTTTGAACTAAGTTCACAGTTCCAAAAAATGAACTAGTTCTTTTTTTTTATGTATTGCTCAATTACACCATAGACATGTAGAACCACAGACAGCAATTATTTTATCAGTTGTAACTCTGAAACTGTGCGTCAGATTTCATCTTCATATCCAGTTTTGAATCCTTATCCAACCAGGGTTTACATTAGCATTGAGGGGACAGATTTCCCCATTGTTGCTTTAATGCTTTGTTGCTGTCCATTCACTTCACACTAGTAGCAGCTGCAGCTTTCACCCCTACAGTATATTCTCAAAAACATCAGGAAAAATGTGCTGCTTGAATTGTCTTTTTTATGAGGAATTATTAAAAGAAAAACAGGAAAGTAGTCTTTAAGGTGCAAATGTTTTTAATTTTTTTTTTATTATTTTTTCAGCGTCCAGACTGCAAATTTATTATATTTTTTTTGCGCTTTATGAAACAAAGTACCCTATATTTTGTGGATGTACAGCTACATTTCTCATGTAAGTTTGCGTAGTTTTAACACAAACATTTATTTTCCATATTGCACCAGTACAGTTAATGAGCAACCTGTACTTGTGTGCTTGTTTGTTCTGTCTAAAATGTTTATTTTGAAATAAAGAGGTTAATAAAAAAAATATTTTTTGTCCGATTCATCGATTAATCGAAAAAATAATCGGCCGATTCATCGATTTTTAAAATAATCGTTAGTTGCAGCCTTAGTCTTTACATCTGAAAAGGGAAAACGATTTAAGCAGATCTGGATTTTGAATAGATTGTTGGGACGCCTTTTTAGCCTGTTCTGTGATCCTTTAATTGTTCTGTAAATGAACCAGTTTGTAGCAAACTCCAGCGGCTAAAGGTTTCTGGTAAAACTCTGTGACTGTTTCTAGATTCAGCTGCAAAAATCACAACAAAATGACTGATGCAGCAAACGTTGCTCAATTACCTCGACATTTTAAACACACAAAAAGCACACAAGTCAGATGGTTGTTTATAATCAAGGACCCCCCAGAGAATCAAGTCTACTGATTGGGCTGCTAGGATGTTTGGAAGGTGTTTCATCTGCACATCAATCATCCTGCAGAGAGGCAACGCCTGAGGACCACTATCCATCACAGAGGAGCTTCATTACCAGATTTGTCACTTGATGTTAAAAGAACAAAGAGCCAGAAAAGGTGGAATGACTAACGTGACGAAACTCTAAAATTATTTGGATCACAGAATGAACAGAAGATATGATGCTCAGAGATTGGAACATGGATCTTTCAATTCGTGGTCTAGGAATATTAAACACATCAGAACAAAAAAACACCGATGAGAAAGACAGTCTTAATACATTTTTAACACATCTTAAAAGTACAATATTTATATAAATGGTATAATTTATAAACATAAAAGTACAGACAGGGTTAAAACGTATAACAGAAAACAAACTGGAACCATGACACTGCAAAAGTTTTAGCAGATTTTCTTTTCTTTTTGTTCCTTCATTTAAGCACAGCTGGTGTTTTTGTCATGCAGGTCTTTCTTTTCTGAAACCAAAAATACAATCTCCTTTAAAGGGCCGGCAGCCAAGCTGCTCATATATCTTCAAAGTACATCAAAGGGTCGATGTCATTTCTGTGAAGTGCATTTTTCAGATGGGGTTTACATTCTTTCAGTAATCGAAGAGCAGAAAAGAATAAACTAGAACAAAATAGAATAGGATAAGGAGTGTATCATCTAAAGGGTAATTGAGAGGATGACTTTTTTGAGCTGGCAGGCGAGATTTTGAAATTCACCACTTGCTACACGAATGATGGATGGAAATGAAAAAAGGGTTTCAGTTCTCCCAGTGACTCATATTGGTTATGAATAATCTCACTTCAGGACACTAAAGCACAACTATAGGAGGAGTGAGTTAGCAGCTCTGGAAAGCCATGATTCCAGCTAAAGAAGTTTCACCTTGCTTTAGAATCCAACATGTCTGCCATGTCTTTATGTCAACACACATTGTCCTTTACCTGTCTCTGTTTGAACAATAACATGTTATTAATGAGTATAAAGGCCCCGTTGTATTGCTAACAGTAAATAGCCTGGACATTGAAGACAACAGTCCACAGATATTAAACAGTTTTCTACATTTGATAACATAACATGGACTCGGACTGGACCTTGATCCATTTAAATCACCTGCTGGGTTATTGTAACCTCGTGAGACAATCCTGATCTCGCGAGCTTTCAAGGTTTCACTCGCAGATCAGTCTGGAGACTCTCCGTTAAAGAAAATTTGGAGCCGTTCACCAAACGAACGTCCAATCAGCGTTGGCTTTGAGGCGGGTTGAGGTGTGACGCAACGAGAAGCGCGATAGTTCAGTCTAAAGAACATGGCGGCTTCAGCCGATGAAACTAGCGTTAGCGTGGCTATCGAGCAAGTTTTATCGGAATTACAGAGTATTTCTTCACTGAAAGAAGAGCAAAACACTGCTCTGGAGGCTTTTCTCATAGGAAAAGATGTTTTTGATCTTCTCCCGACTGGTTTCAGCAAGAGTTTGATCTATCAATTGGCTCCTCTTGGTCGTCGCTCTGTTAGTACGTCATATGCTTCGTTGATCTGATTGGTTTATTTGGCCCGTCTATCACCAACATAGGCCAATCAGCTAACCAGTATTTTCGCCCCTTCCCAAAATTACTTCAACGGAAGGTTTCCAGATGGATATGCGGAGTTTCCTCCAGCAAATCAAAACATACATGTGAGGTAAACTGGGAGCTCGTAGCTCCATCTAAGTTGGAGCTTTGGGTTTTTAAATCATTCAGTCATGTTTAAATGTAGGTCGGTAAAGTGGCTGACACTGTTATACCACTGTTATCAAACCAAACCGTTTATATTACCACTCTTTCCAAGTCCAGCTGGATTCCAAGTTTGAAGCTGAACAATTTTATACTTGGATTTTAGATCAGAATTTTCAGGTTCCAGGTAAAAATAATGGACTATATGTCCCATTCCTCACTTTTGGGAAATTCAGCCCGCCCCTTTGTCTCCTGTTTTTCATTGCTGGAAAAACTGATTAAACCTGGTTGTGTGTGTGTGACTTGAGTAACCATGACAAGAAATGCCAGACAAACCTGGATGTGTGGGATCAGTTCAGGACCTAGTGGAGTGGGAATATAGCCCACTGAGTGAACCGCAGCCGGAAGCTGCAATTCATGGACGTTCATGGAGGTTGTTGAAAATAAATATTAAATGTCAAAATACAACATGGTTGTTTAGAGTCTGAAATGTTCTAACCATCTCATTCATGTTATTCCAGTTCAATGTTCTAATTTTCAATTTCCAATTTTCCATTTCCAAGTCTAATGCTGGATCTAGACAACCCAGAAAGATGTTTAAGTCTGGTGTGAGATATTGGAACACCTGGAAACACAGGAAAATATTCTAAAGTCTCAGCAGGGGTGTTTTGTGTTTGCTTAGGAAGTTAAAGCCTGCACAAAATAAAATCAGACACTGTGGGAAAACCAGTGAAATTTGTTCATGGTTGTGTTTGGAGAATTCCTGATCTGGGATTTTGCCACTGAATTGATGCATAGTCCAACTAAAATAGACCGGGTCTCTATCTCAGTTGGAGCTACGCAGGCCCCCTGCAGAAAATCATGTCTGGTGTGATCGTCTCCATTGACTACGAATGAGCTCTAAACTCTGGATTTGGTGTGTTCAGGACCCAAGGCTCCGAAGAGGCTAACTAACAAACTCCCTCCAAAGGCAATTTAAACTTTCCTTTTAAATGTTAGCTTTGTCGGGACCAAATATACATATTTTTAGATGGTAATAGGAAGCCGGAACACCTAGAGAGAACCCAAGCAGTAAACAGGAGAACATGCTCAACAAACAGCACTCAGAAAATCCTGGCCAGAACTCAACAGATACACCTCATTGATTATAGGCAGCATTTATCGCCATTCCATCCTTAATCTGAATATAGAGAACTGGATCTTCACTTATTAAAGGGTTACAGCTTCAGAACTGAACAAGACTGACCAAATGGAAGACTCCAAACTGGGAAATTCACATCAGAGTTGTCCAAAATCGGTTCTCAAGAACTGAGATCCTGCTGTTTTAGATGCTTCCCTGGTTTAATTGACTTAAAGATGATTCATTACAAAGACTTTTCAGAACTCTATGACTAAAGGAGGCACCTTATCCATCTAAATTAGGTATCAGGTTATCAGGTAATCAGGCAATCAGGCTAAGGGACATATTGACCTATAGGACACTGACCCTTCGGGACGAGTTGGACCTAAAGAACAGCATCTAGAAGGGTTTAGAGTTTAAAGGGATGGAGAGTCTTCAATTAAAATGTCTGTTTTAAAATGGCCAATGTCCGGGCAGCATCAGAAAGCACTGGGATGAAGTGTGAATCGATGCTTCTTTCTGGACATCAGTCCATCACTTTCCTTTTGGAGACAAGAACTCTTCCTGTGAGATATCGCTGACCTCGTCGTGTTGCTCCTGCTTCCACACCCGCTCATACTCCTGCTTCAGCTCCTGGTATGAACGGGAGAAGGTGTGGAAGATGGAGGTGGCTGGGAATGCCATGATGAGGATGCCGCTCAGGATGCTGATAAGCGCCACTATCTGACCGGGGAGGCTGCGTGGAACCATGTCGCCGTAGCCCACCGTGGTCATGGAGATAATGGCCCACCAATAGGAGGCTGGGATGCTGCTAAAGCTGTGGTGGGGGTGCGCAGCAGCAAACGGAGCCAGTTCGCTCTCAGCTAGGTGGACCAAAGGAGAGAAGAGGGTGACCGCCACGCAGACAAAGAGGAGAAGCAGGCCGAACTCCCTCATGCTGCGCTGCATGGTCACACCCAATGTCTGTAGGCCCAGAGAGTGGCGCGCCAGCCGCATGACGTAGAGGATCCGCAAGGCCCGCAGCAGCCGCAAGATCAGACTCAGCTTGTCTAGGTAGCCTCTACCAACCCCCATCACCGCATCATCCTGCACCTCCTCTCCAACGTCAAACACCAGCGACACATAGTACGGCAGGATGGCGATGGCGTCGATTATGTTGAGCGGGCCGCGGGCGAAGCTCAGCTTGCTTGGAGCATTGACAAACCGTAGCAGGAACTCCAGGGTGAACCAGGCCACACAGACCGACTCTACAACAAACATGTTGCGACACTTCTGGGAGCATTCGCCCTGCAGAGGAGCAGAAACACAGAATTATATCAAAGGGACAACAGCGAGGAAACATGAAGCTTGTTCTTTAGTTTCTTTAGTTAAACTGAATCCTGGGGTTTAAATTACTAGTTTTGATGTCAGATGTCTCTCTTTAATGTCTTTTATGTGCAATTTGTGAATGAACTATGTTATCGGTACCTGCCATAGCAATGCATGGAGCATGAAGTGCCATGTGCTCTTTGCATTGCATGGAAGCACCTATTATTATTATGTGAACACAACAGACTCTTTATTGGTGCCTGCCATAGCAATACAAGGAGCACGAAATGCCAATGCCAAGTTTTCGATCTAAGGAAAACCAGCTGATTGTAAAAACTTCAGCAATCCCTCACATCAAGAACGCTTGTACCGACAGTGGAGAGGAAAACTCCCTTTGAACAGGAAGTTCAATCTGAAAAACTCACACGAAGAGAAAAGACAATTAGGAGAAATTTATTGATAGAATCACATTGTCTTTGGTGTTCAGACCTCGGCAGGAAAGATGGCTTGGGTAACACAGGTTGAGAGAACCTGTCCATGATGAGCAAGCATGAAGCGACAGTGGAGAGGAAAAACTCCCCGTTGGGAAGAACCTCTGGCAGTACGAGGCTCAACATGGCGGTCTTTTATCGGGCCGGTTGAGATGAGACCGGGAACGCAGTAAGAGTCCTGGATAAATGAAACTCTGATGAAGCTTTAGCTACGATGGTGGAGGAGGGGCTGGAGGTGGGTTGAAACGGGGTCATCTGAATGAAGTCACACAGCGCATCCGCCGCCTGCCTACAGGAGCAGACAAGTTGCTGATCAGAGGACTTTTAAAATAAAGCTTGGATGCAAATTGGCTTTCATGGAGGTGTGGTTCAAAGCTGATTGATTGTGTCGCAGGTGGATGTAGGAGAGCCATAAACCTCCAGCAGAACCAGGCTCGGTGTGAGCAGCCAAGCAGAGATACAAAAGGCAGCTGTCAACCAGCTCCACCAGCGGCCCCTTAAAAGAAAAACACAGCCAGGTAGACAAGCGCTGAGCCAGCTCCCATGTCAGAGGATGAAAGAGAGCACATCCAGTTAGTCACAGTCAGAGAACCAGGACTACACTGAAAAACAGGCCGATCTCCAACAGAGAGATCCCTAATATTATGCCAGGTTATACTAAAACTGGCATAATATTAGAGACTGAACGAATAACGAACAACACCCGCAGTTTGGGAGAATAAAAATAGAATGAAGCAGAATGATGAAAAAGGGGTCCCTATGTCCTCCAGCAGTCTAAGCCTATAGCAGCATAACTATAGATATAGCTCAGGATAACCTGAGCCACCCTAACTATAAGCTTTATCAAAAAGGAAAGTTTTAAGCCTAGCCTTAAAAGTAGACAGGGTGTCTGCCTCACGGACTAGAGAGGAAAATGATAACTAAAAGATCTGCCTCCCATTCTACTTTTAGAAATTCTAGGAACCACTAGTAAACCTGCAGATTGAGAGCAAAGTGCTCTGTTAGGAACATAAGGAACAATCAGATCTCTGATATCAGATGGAGCTTGGCCATTTAAGGCTTTATATGTGAGGAGGATTTTAAATTCTATTCTGGATTTAACAGGAAGCCAATGAAGAGAAGCCAGGATAGGAGAGATATGATCTCTCTTTTTCATTTTCATCAGAACTCTGGCTGCAGCATTTTGGATCAGCTGTTGCCTCTGGTTGAATCTGGGTAATCCGTTTCTGGTCATTACAGTTTTTTATGTTTACAAAAGGTTTTTCACACCTTTATTTTTCAATGCTTAGGCTATGGGATGATCATATTTTCCATCAGAGAGACAGCCTGGGCAGAGAATCTGTCTCTGTTGGGATGGATTTAGTAAATGTTGCTCTGTAGCGCCGACACAAAAGGAAAAGGTCTAAACAACCTCTGTCCAAGATGTAAACACTGTAAAAATGTTAGATATTCTTAGATACCCTAGGCCTGTACAGGTCCTGGATAAGCCCTGATGATCATCCCGGCGTCTCGGGAATCAACACCAGGTCAGTGTTTCATTCATTCAGAACACCAGCAGCCATGTTTCTATCTGATTTGTATGGAGGTTCTTCGTTAGTCTACGTATGACCTGAAAACCTAACTTGCAGTGAAGCTGCACAGGTTCCAAGCATCTGTTGCTATGGTGACAGTGACTGGTGCTGTAGCAGCTGATGCAACTTAATGAGGCAGAAACTTACAACAGGAGAGGAGTGTTAAAGCCTTTCAAAGTCCTCTAAATGATCAGGAATGAAAATTGAATTTATTTCTCTCAGGAACTATTTCAATTCCAAGGTCAAGCTTCAATAAATGGGAAAAACATATGAATTTGACACATCTGAGCACATTCCCATAACAAACTGGATTTACAAATATATGAGAAAATACATAATCATTTAAGAGACGTTGATCATTGTTTTCTTCTTACTGTAATGTGATAAATCTTTTAATAAGTGAAGATATAACAAAACAATAGATTCTGGGGAACAGCCAACACAAACGCAAAGATGGCAGAAATGAGGGAATGGTAAGACACATTTATCCTATTCTGCATAATAATCCTTTGTGTGCGACAGAAGCAGCTGATAGCAGCTTTCGTAAAGTGTTAAAATCTATATTTTTAATGTGGAGCTTTAAACACCATCACCACAGGAAGGACTTCTTTTAAAGGAAGAAAATTATTATTGAGTTAGGTGTCATTACAGCTCTTTCAATGAGACCTCAACCACCTTTCCGTCTGTTGAAAGTAAACTGTAATACATGTTGACCATTCAGTCAGCAGGAAAATAGCTGCAGGTGTGGGATGGTTAGGTAAAATGAACTCATCTTAATGTTTTACTTGAGCAGAATGAAATCCAGCTCTCAGACTCAGACCTTCAGCAGGTCGGACCATAGCTGCAGCCTGTTTATCCATCCTCCTACAGAACAAATGAATGCCAGAACTTTCTGAAATTAAATGAGGAAAAAACTGAGGTGGTTGTTTTTTGGAGCAAAAGAGGAACGCTTAAAAGTCTGTGCTCAGCTTCAAACGACAATGTTAAAAACAACAGACAAAGCCAGAAATCTCCGCCAGATGGATTTGCTCCGCATATCCATCTGTCAGGTAGGTCTGCCGCGGTTTCCGTAGAGTCGTGAACGCGCTTTTAGGAAATCCTATACACTACTGTTTATGCTCTAAAAACATTCTAAATGACTTCGTTTCAAGTAAATTATGGACGCTACCCACTCAGGACACTTGGAATACATTGGACGAGCAGTATGGAGGAATATTGACACGTTTTTTGTGGACTTTTATGGACCTTTCTGCCTCGGGCACCATAGACCTCCATTATTTGAATGTCAGCAGACAGCAAGAAGCCTCCCAGATCTCCAGATGCATTTGAGAAATTAAAAAAAGTACTCCAGAGTGTTGTTCAGCATGGGGGTGAGTAGAAATGAAGGCTAATCATGTTTTGGGTGTACTATTCCTTTAAAGGAGACTGAGACAAAGAGGGGGCTAACGAGGGGATTGAAAACAGGTGAGGGCAGTGCAGAAAACAGAGCTAGTTAAAGAGGACACAAGGGGGCAGCAGAGGACAACAAATGGAAAACCAAGAAGACTGGAAATAAAATGATAATCAAATAACTAGGATAATTCAATTCAATTCAGTTTATTTATATAGCGCCAAATTCACAACACATGTCATCTCAAGGCACTTTACAGTTCAACCAGATCAAATTGATACAAAGTTTTCTATCTAAGGAAAACCAGTTGATTGCATTGACTCATTGACTCAAATACAATCCCCCACACTAAGCATGCTTGTAGCGACAGTGGAGAGGAAAAACTCCCTTTTAACAGGAAGAAACCTCCAGCAGAACCAGGCTCAGTGTGAGCGGCCATCTGCCGAGGCCGACTGGGGTTCAAGGAGACAGAAGCAGAGATACAAAAAGCAGCTGTAAAAGGCGGCCCCGTCCAGGAAACACACAGCCAGGCAGACGAGCTCCAAGGCAGCTCCCATGCCAGAGGACGAAGAGAGCACATCCACTCAGTCACGGTCAGAGAAACAGGACCACACTGGAAAACAGGCCGATCTCCAACATCTATAAACAAGGGTGTTGATAGAAGCAGCACAGCTGATGTTTCTTTCCAGGATGACGTCACAGCCAAACAGGAACAGACGAGGCAAAGCTACTCTGAGGAAAAGCAGAGAGAGCAGAAGGTTAGAGATTGAACTAACAGATTCTGCAGAATAGGAGAACAGAGAGAGAATGAAGCAGAATGATGAAATGGGGGTCCCTATGTCCTCCAAAAGTCTAAGCCTATAGCAGCATAACTATAGAGATAGCTCAGGATAACCTGAGCCACTCTAACTATAAGCTTTATCAAAAAGGAAAGTTTTAAGCCTAGCCTTAAAAGTAGACAGGGTGTCTGCCTCACGGACTAAAACTGGTAGTTGGTTCCACAGGAGAGGAGCCTGATAACTAAAAGATCTGCCTCCCATTCTACTTTTAGAAATTCTAGGAACCACTAGTAAACCTGCAGATTGAGAGCGAAGTGCTCTGTTAGGAACATAAGGAACAATCAGATCTCTGATATAAGATGGAGCTTGGCCATTTAAGGCTTTATATGTGAGAAGGAGGATTTTAAATTCTATTCTTGATTTAACAGGAAGCCAATGAAGAGAAGCCAGGATAGGCGAGATATGATCTCTCTTTTTAATTTTCATTAGAACTCTGGCTGCAGCATTTTGGATCAGCTGAAGGCTTTTAACTACAGTTTGTGGACTTCCTGATAGTAAAGAATTACAATAGTCCAGCCTTGAAGTAACAAATGCATGGACTAGTTTCTCAGCATCACCCCTGGACAGGATATTTCTAATTTTTGCAATGTTCCTCAGATGAAAGAAGGAAATTCTAGAAACCTCTTTGATGTGGGATTTAAATGACAGGTCCTGATCAAAAACAACACCAAGATTTTTTACTTTATTA